TGGACATACCCACCTTAAAAATCATCCGAAACGAGAGAATCGTCCGTGACAGTGATGAAACCGTGCAGCAACCGTGTAAACGGTACCTTGGGAGCCAAGTCGCCATTGTGAATACAAAGTCGATCTTATCACTTGGTAATATACGCGGCATAAGGAATCGACTGAAGATTCCAATCGTATATGTTATATCGTAGGCTGCCTATATCACGTTTCTTGGCCGCTCAAAAGGAGTCATAAAGATTTGCAAAGTGGCCTGTGCAAATCGGTTACTGCGTAGCCTCTCGAGGAATTCGCCGATTGATAATAATCGTAGATCACGCATGATAGTGTATCCTTAAAATCGTTCAAGGATTTCGATAAGGGCTATTTCATCGTATCGGCATAAAGTCGATCAACACTTTTCTTATTGCTTTTATCTCTATCGTTACGTAACACGTAAAACCTCTACATACCTGCCGTACAGTGTTTACAACCATGCTTTTTAAAACTTTGCAAATGATACTTTCGAAATTGCTATATTATCATAGACGGAAGTCACATTCGGACACTGTTGAATTCTATATACATATATAACACCATAAATACATATATACATGAATTTCTTCTCAATAGACTGCTAATGACACATCTCTTATTCTCCATCGCAGCGCTAAGTGTTCTTACAGCAACTGCAATAACATGCGCCTGTAGTAAAACGTAACTTGATCCTGCTCGTATATATATATAGTTATGTACTAGCCTGAGCTAACTAAGCTATATAGGCAGCCCGAGGTACAGCCGAATGTTAAAAGTTAAAGAGCAATAGGGTGGGTAAGGGGGGTAAGAGTCGATAAGGATACAAAAAGACTGGGAAACGTTTGTGCTCCTTGAGAGCCGAGAACGTTTATTTGTCGGTACGAAGAAACGGTAAAGGAAAGAAGCGCTCGAGGGATGAAAGGGTTGGATCTTATCGGAGTAGGGATAGAGGGGAGGAAGGAAGGTGGGGTAGATGGGGGGGGAGGGGGGAGCTATGAGTTTCGCGTCTACCTTTTTCCTCCCTAAGGTGCACGTTGATCGGGCAGGATGGCGCGCGTGTGCGTGTAACGGCCTCGTGCGTTATAATAACGCATCCCCGTATGTCGAGCTGGAGTTAAAAGTCGAATAATTATATTTCCATAGGCGGTAATAATTATAAAATACCAATACAGCAAGGGCCCACGGCTAGGAGATAGGGCTCTCGCCCGGGTAAAAACAAGTGACAGGCGTTGTTAATTGGCAGCCTCTAGATGGCAATTAAGATTAATAACAAGCTGGCAATCGCCGGGCCGCCGCTTACGTTCGACGTATGTATGTACAGCGTTGGTATGCCTGGGTGTCCAGTACGCAGGAAGCCAGGACACAGCCAACCCTATACCGATAATAATATCGTACAGGCTAAACCGGCGGCACATAGGCGAGCTTATACTAATGAGATAAATCGGCATATTTTTGTGAATTCTTCTCGCGCCTTATGTATACCCGCTAGACGCGAGAATCATCCGCGATTTACAATTGAACGGACTGCGAGCTGTTATTTAATGTAAAAAGTCGTGACGTATCAGGACTTTTCATATGGTCGTCGTGATCAATATCGATCGTCGATTAGATTTTCATTGTAATTTCGATCGTGTGGAAAATATCATTTTTATATTTCTTTTTTTATCCCGTCGCACTTTCTGGCTATACGGGGTGGACTGTGTACGTTGGAATTCTTCAATGTTCCTGTTCGGTAGTGGAATTCGAGTGTCGATACGGGTAACGAACCAGCGACGAAAGTACAAGTACTTGCTTTGATCTAGCTCTAACGTATCGGCCTTGCGTTCGCATTCCACTCCCCATCAAACAGAGTAGAAAACCAGTTCGGTTCACCTATCGCTCAACGTACCGACTCTCACTCGAGTTACACATCGGTAAACTCCGTCAGATTGTCGTGCTCGATCAGAGCTCATTTTTTTGTTTCGAAATTTCGACGTCAGGTCGCGCCGATCGCCCCTGATCGTTCGTTCGCGTTGACCGAGGATCAGTCGTCCATTTGGAACGAGTCTCTTTTCGGCGCGATCGATGACAAATTCACGGTAGTCGATGTATGCCAGGATAAGCTTATAAGATGTCAGTACGTCGTATCACCTGTTACTTCCTTTGTCACTTGAAGCAAAAGTCAGGGTCTGAGTACGGAGTGACATATGGTTACTGGAAAAGTATCTGGCAACGTTCAGTGTCTATTGAGATTTCTGCTAGAGATTAGATGGTGAATTAATGGGAGTAAAAATTTGAAATGTAGTTAAACATGTTTTTCAATGGTGTGCCGTTTATTATTTTTATTGATCCTTTAAAAAATTTATAAGCACCGATATTGACCCCTTGCGGTCAATTTTTCCATGAATACGCTTGCTAACGTACGTTACGTTGGACTTGACGGATCTTGGCTTTGGTTTCGAATATCCCAACTGTACGTATAGATGCTTGTCTGTGACAGATTCGATCTGGACACTCTCGCCAAGACGGAAGAGTATAAGGTTTCTCGTTGGCGAGAACGGTAACTACAAGACAGGTATATAATACTTGTAGAAATTAAAAAATACCTACAACCGGTGCCATACTCGAGATAGACAGGGAACGTGTCCCCATTCGATTTGCCAAAAGAGGATTTTCATTGTGTAATTTACGTATATGGTACTGCGACTTTTATGCGTGTTACGTTTTATATGGACCCTAAGGATCCATGTCCAAGAGTACACGAACACGTATACAATTCTCAGTACGTAACTCTTCCAACGCACCGTAGAAAGTTGAAACGTTCAATTCTCCCACGAGATAAAATTGCTTGCCTTATACACTGACCGGCATCTTTCATCCCAATGACTTCTGACCAATCCGACGTTTCTGGGTCGCGAACTTACTTCCCTGAGGTCAATCGCGCGGCTATGCCGATGCCTTACACGACAACAAAGCCAATTCAGCGGCATTGCTTGCCGAAGAGCGGTTATAATAAAATACAACAACGTACTCTCACTTTCGAATCCACTCTCACTTGCGTTAGAGGCCGTCGCCTCGGGGATCACTCATCTCCTTTTACTCTGCCGGTGCTTATTATATGGGAGTATTTTAACTTTTGAGAAGATACGATGCAGATGCACTTAACAAGTAATACTTGTGCCAAACGTGACCGCAAGTAATTTTTTTTTATTATAATTAAAAATTTTTATTTCTCGAAATGAAAAAAAAAATCAATAAAAATTTTAAGGACGAGTTTGTATGAAAATTGAAAAAAAAATTTTTTTTTTTTTGACAATACCCGATTTGGCAATATATCCAACGCGGACGGCGATCAGGATGTATTTCTGCAAGAGGAACTAGCTCACCTTGGTACAAGAAGCGACTGTCTACAGTGCTGTGTATATGCTTTTAATTCGCCTCCTATTACTGTCTCGCTTTCCTAACACCGAGCATTGATTTAATGAACAAAACAATAATGGCGATATTATCGACACTACTTTTTGCGTGTAGGAGCAATATATATCCTCGAAGCTATCAATGATCTTGGGTAACGTATTGCCACGCAATAATTCACCGGAATGCGTTTACGTACTACCGGCTAACGAATTGTCAATGACTGACTATGCACTGTCACGGTACGGCCCTGGGTCCTCGTAATAAAAGTATAATAAAGTGTCGCCGGTAAGTGACTACGGGCGTGTCTTTAAAGCGTATCAATATTTATTAGACGTGTTAAAAAGTAACGACGACTCGGTTACAGCTAATTTGCAATGTTGCCTTGTGATGTATAGAGATTAAAAAAATGTCTGCCAAAAACATAACCCCGAATTATTATCGCTAATAAATCGATCTGAAATAAAGTGACGTAAAGCTCGCAGAGTCGGACATCTCGGTTGCGTAAAATCTTGACACCCTCGTTTTTCAATTATTTAAAGCGTGGGGTGTTAAATGCACGTACTATTTTTCTTTTTATCAATCGAGGTAGGCTGTATCCTTGGAATAATTATGAGTCGTAAAATATACAAAGGCGTAACGACGAACGCTAAATGTTAATGTCTTCGTGTAAACAGCACGTAATGAAGCATGAGCCGTAACGAGCACGAAGCCGAAGAAGCATACCTTGAAAATTGCAGTTGTTTCAAAACGCGGGAAAATTCAAATAATCATTGCCGCACTGACGTGCGACGTATGCACAATGCCTATGCAATGATGATGATCGATAGTTGCGTAACAAATAGGTTACGCAATTTCCCACGTAAATGGCGGCCAACCATGAATGACGACCACGCGAATGAGTCCCCTCTAACGATCTCTAATGATCCTGATCATCTCTCGATCATCAGGCGCCATTCGTAGGTGCAACCTAACCTAGAAATTCATTCACAGCATGCCTCGTAACGTGCTGATATATCGCAACACATATGCCATAAATTAACGCGAGAACTCGACCTTATATTTGAGTATACGAATTATTAAAAATTTGTATAATTTTCCAAAAAAAAAATCCGCCCACAATTAACTTTTCGTGTCAGTTTCGAAAATCGTTCCAGCGACGCACAAGGTTCTACCACATATGGAGATTCTCGTTCACAGCGTTTTACGACACTTTCTTGGATATTACGAATTCTCGGTTACCCAAGAATCCGTACGATTTCGTAATACACAAAATGTCAAGATTGCTATATACGCCATTTGGAGCGTGGGCTCTGGCAAAGCCACTCTGATATATTTCGTAGACCCACGCGCTCGCGACTCGCATTCCATTAAAGATGGAGTCACCCTCTAGCTATGGTCAATCGTACAAGTCGATACCCACGTAGGTACATATTCATAGAGCAGCTGCCAAATGCGTTACAAACCGCCATGCGAATCTCCGTGACGATTCCTTTTACCATTGACAATAATCACAAATCACCGTCAATATTCATCATCATTTTAAGACCAAATCCATTCGTCACGTTAAATAGCATATATGATTCACTCACCACCGAGGTCAGACTAAGGCTAGAAGATTTGCTCACCTGAAACAGAAGACAGAAAGAAAGGTACAATTAATCATCGTATAAAAGAGAAAAAAAAAAAAGAAAAAATAAATAAATGTACAGTAACACGGTAAACACCTAAAGTCATTGAGACTCAATGAGCACGTCGACCCCTCCACGCTTTTCATCCATTATCACACTTGACACGCTGCACGCCAGTCTCACGAAGCGAGCGTGTAATTGTAATTACGCGAACTGCACGGTGTCGTCGTAAAGGAAGATTTGTCAGCTGCATATATATACATATATATATATATATAAACCAAAGGTACGGTTAGGACACGCGCCACATTACGCAATCGAGAATCGCCCATACCAGCTTATTTGTAATTGCGAGCTCGTAATCATTAAAGGCGACTTCAGCGGACGTTATAACGATTTGAGGTTTGCATTGGCAAGTAGCAGCAACATCAATAGTAAAATCAACAGCGACAGTATAAACCGCGCTACCTGTTCGAAGTAACGTGCCCGGTGCGTTACATACACAGTAAACGTACATACGACTGGAAGGACAAAGTTTGCCTGGCGCAACTATACCAGTTCAAGAGATCCATTGGTAAAACAAGCACGAACCACGTGTCCACCCCGTGCTGACATTGGCTACGTGGAATTTTCATAATGAGAAATTATGCGATCTCTGGCAATCGTGGCGAGCATATATGTATATATATATGTATATATATATATATATATATATATGTACGTACGATAGATATAGAAGAAGGTGCGTATCATACTAAGCGTATCCACCATTGGAATAATGGTTATTGGTTATTTATATCGACGTTGAATTGGCTATCCCAGGTGAATTACTCGCGAATTCTGTGCGAGCCGTAATTACAAGGGATTACGGTGAGGGCCATGAGTCATATCTTGGTGGTGGAGGGGTTACGGGTGGGTGTAAGGGGTAGAGATAGGGAAGCGCGAGAACGTGGGAAAAACATAAGGAATATCGCTTTTCGATTATTCCTCGTTAGACGGATAGTACCTCGTTATTAAGTTACCGCGGGGCTGTCGATCGGCGGATCGATAGGGGCTGGTTAATTCGTCAAATCGTTAATTCGTGACGTGGAAAGAGCGAGGGCCGAGGAAACTTAACGATAAATATCAATTTCCGGAGTAACTCCGTGCTCCGTGGTGCATCTTTGCTTTTACTGTATACATACGTATACACGTAGACGTGATAACTGCCAGACATATTAGCTCTCGGGATCGACACTGTAAGGCATGATATTTCGATCTGGGAAATTCTTAATTCGCTCTACGTTAATCAACGATTTGCGTTACTTCCTTATTAATAATTGCACGAGGCCACGAGAGGAGAATTGGACGGACAGAGAACGGTGTGGACCGTGGATTAAAGAAATGTATACACGTCTGGGATTTAAATTTTTCCCGCTCAGCCAATCAACCACGTGACTTCCGTCTACGGTGAACATTGGCAAGCGCCTCTGACGTCATACGGCATATATGATGTTATATAATTTTCTTGTCGAATCCAATTAGTCGCTAAAATAACCTAAAGGCCGTCGTGTCAATCGAGCGTGGAGTCCTTGTCGTATAAAACACTGACGATAACAAAAAGACAAGCTCGACTGTGTACGCTGCATAACGTGGGCATATGACGTTAAAGGCGAGCGGCGCTTTATAAATCTGTTAAGAGGTTTCTGATACAAGAAGGGATCTCTGGGAAAAATATAGCTAGTTAATACGTTACACGCACGTGCGTGTATATATGGCGCTGCGTGTTTCGCTTAAGCGTTTTGCATGCCGTGTGCCGTAAGGGATCCCCTCAACCATAACGACACTTGTTCGCGCTCGGTGCACGACTCTATTAATTATTATTAATTGCATCCGTGAATCGAGCAGCGTCTTGGGCATCGCGCAATCCATCAGCGAGGGATTTGACTCGCTCGATTTCACGGAATCACGCGGAACGCGAACGCTATTTTCTGGACTATTAATCAATCCGTAATCTGCTAGCTGGACGATCGTTATGCACTGCTTTATGGCTGGAGTCAGTATACAGGGAAGTATATATACATTGATACTATATACAAGTCATTGGTAGTCATTTGAAGCGAACGAATTTATTTAGAAATTCTATACATGAATTTCCTGCGATCCTTGCCGGACACGTATGCGACCTTGTGGCGTGTTGAGAGTCTGGGTAAAAACTCCTTGAAAAAAGAAAAAAGCCGAAGGACTCTTTACGGCAAAAGAGAGCGCCATGAAGTGGAGTAAATGTCAACAGTTAATTGCGACTTCGTGCACTAATATATGCGTTCCCAGTGGAATGGACTTTACTGGAGTACATATGGCTAACCATGGACTATGGCCATTGTAAATCAATCGGCCGGGCGTATAAGGCGGTTTTACTTAGGGAGGCCGCTTTACGTGCCGTTTAATTAAACCATTATTTGCCTGTAAACGGTAAAGTGCCGTACGTATGACGAAACGACGTTAAATGGACATTTACACGTACGATATCGGCAGTTCTTTAAAGTGTCGAACAACGGAGTTGCCGTCAAACGGGAAATAATGATAAGTAATAGAGAGAAAATAAAGTAAGAAAAACTTTATTTATCCAAGGAAACGAAGAACAAACGGCGTATCCTCTGAGGGAAAAAGAATAAATAATTTCAATTAAGGATATCCCGTGGGTTCGGAATTCTTTCGATGATTCATTGGAAAGCGTAATGTCCTGTGGTGTCGCCGAGAATGAAAGTCTTTCCTAGTCGCCCGATTGAAAACGATCGGAGGTGAACGTGAACTTGTCGCAACTTCCGCATTTAACCGGCAGCACTCTTACCGATCTGAGTACCGTTGGTCCACCGATTGATCTTCCGATCTCGAAGCGCCTGCTTGGGCAACGTGCATTGGTTGACAGCCTTAAGGCTTCGCGCGGTTAGTCGCTCCTAATGACCCCCTGGGGTCTGCAATGAGCGACGGGAAAAAATTAAGTCAGTTTGCACGCAGCAGATAATAGGTGAAGGAAAAGGTAAGGCACTGTACTGTATTGCGATAAGAACAGGGTGTAGATCCTAATGATGTCTTTGACGAGTTGGGCAACATTTCTCCCGTAGCTCCCTAGAGCGGTCAAGTGTTGCCTATTGCCTTGACTCGAAATCATTAGTAATAACGGATTGTCGACTTCCGGTTAACGCAACGGGTGACAAGTGTAATCACTATTTTTGTATTTTTTTTCCAACTCCACGTTAATCGTGCCATGAAATTCCGGTCTGTATGTCAATCAGTTCGATTGTCGTTTTTTAATATCTAAGTACAATTAGAATAAGGACACTTGCGCAAGGACTCTGAGGTCTACGCGACAGGTGTAACGTAGCTTATAGTCCTTACCAGGTAAATGCATATCGCAATTTCATTCCTCGATGTTTAGTTACCTGGCACTTTTCAGCAATTTATAGTTGACGTGGTTGGACGGTTGAGCTCTGAATTAATTTTCGGTGGGAGTGTACAGCGGAATACACGCGAGATAAGCCATTCTCTTCAATTAGCATCAAGGTCCGATTCCTTTTGTTCGGACCAGGTCGAGTCAACAGACGTTTCTTAACGTTAATCTTTTTCCTTTCTCTCTCTCTCTCTCTCTCTATCTCCCTGTCAGTCTTCCCTTGTATCTTTTATTGTGCAATCATTAAGCCTTCTTTACAATGTACCGAAAAGGGGAACAGGGACCGAGTGCACGTAGCGGCTTCGTGGAGTAACGTAAGAAAATGATCACGTTCAATTCCTATGTCCGCGGACACACTGTATATAACAATACAATCTGCCGTCAACAATACCGCGTTACAGGTGCGGCACCGGTATCTACGTGTTCAGTTTCGCATATAATGTCAGTGAAAAATCGTCGTTTTTAATGCCCGTCGCTTGTTTGTAAATCCGGCATTAGCCACGCCGTGGCATTGTTACAATTAATGGTACTGTACTTCGTTCCTGAGAATAGCCTTCGTTTCGTACAGTATAAGCGCCACTCGATCTGTTAAATCTCTGTTCTTTTTCTCACTTCATTCCTTATCCTGATTGGTTGGCTTGTCTTGTTTCTTGCATTATTTTCTTTTTATTGTCATTCTAATCGTCATCGTACAATTCATTCTGCGTTGTGTACGGTACCTAAGAATTTTGCTGACGTGATAAATGTCGTTTGGCACGTCGTGTCAAGGATACAGTGAATTCGGCTTTGGGCCGAATTTCAAATTGTACGTGGGACCGGAAGTCAAGTACCTACTGGAGAACAAAGATTTATTCCGGTGAAGGCTGCGATGAAAATTATTATTTTTTTTTTTTACAGGGTTCATCCCTTCTCTGGTGGGTCTATACGGTGGCGGTGAAGGTAGATATATATATATATATATATATATATATATATATATATATTCTTACCATTGTTATTACAGCTATTACAGCTTCTAGATATTTTATTTATTCCCAGCCGCAAAGATAAGTGAGAGTCGGAAAGAAGCAATGGGAGAGAAAGACAAGGCTGACGTGGGAAAGCGGTGTAAATAATAATAGAAAGTCTTGTAGAGTGTCCTGTCGTGTCGCTAGATGTTCCGTGCGCGATGACCCATTGCCGTGATTACGCGCGTGCGAAAGTAAAAACTATGATAAGAGAAAAAAGGAACGATCGGAGTAGCAATGAGAATTCTTGAAGAGCATACTTTATATATATAGATATTGGATCCTAAAATGGTACTCAAGAAATTGTATCAATCTTTACACGATATTGCCCAATAAAAGGGACCATTTTATATTGACTCGAGAAATCGGAGACTTGAAATTTTTTTCAATAATTCTGACAATGAAAAGTCTGACCTAGGCTTATTGGATTACACGGCGGTTCTATACTCTATATAAAGCAGTGTCGAGTAAGGTAGGATTTAAAAATGTATCTTGCGGTGAACCGTCGATTGTACTTTATGGTTTTGAATTCTATACCGATACTTGGATCAAGTGTCTTT